TACAAAATTTAGCCGTCATGGTGGGCAGGTGGCCTGTAATCCCACCTACTGGGGAGGCTGACCCAGGAGAATCGCTTGAACCCAAGAGGCAGAGGTTGCAGTGAGCTGAGATCGTACCACTGCATTCCAGCCTAGGCAACAAGAGCAAGCTTTGTCTCAAAGAGGATCTTATGTAAAATGAGATGAAAAGCTATATGTCAAGCCACATTTGTAATCCTTTAACTCTTGGCTTTGATAGTCCAAACTCTATGTAACACAGCATTATCAGCTAGAAACTTGTTAGAAATGAAAATTGACAGGCCCCACCCCACAGCTGCTGAATCAGAAAATCTGGGAATGGGGACCCTAAGTGCCTTCCTGACTTCCTAACCTTACCTTCTCTGTTTGGGTTTGTACAACAGTGAATTAAATGTACTTTCCAAAAAGAATTAGCCTAAGGCTGCCCAGTGCTTCCTGTGTTGTTATTTCTGTTTCCTTTGGATGAAAAGAGTAAGTGTCATTGACTCAGAAATGATTATTTTAGAACAAGCATATTTCCAAATGTAACAGAATGATGACTACTATGAGTACTGAAGCTAGTTTCAGAATCCAGAGCTTCTCTTTATATATACTTTTTTTTTTTTTTTGAGATGGAGTCTGGCTCTGTCACCCAGGCTGGAGTGCAGTGGGCGCGATCTTGGCTCACTGCAACCTCTGCCTCCTGGGCTCAAGAGATTCTCCTGCCTCAGCCTCCCGAGTAGCTGGGATTACAGGTGCCTACCACCATGCCTGGCAAATTTTGTATTTTTATTTATTTATTTTTGAGATGGAGTCTTGCTCTGTTGCCCAGGCTGGAGGGCAGTAGTGTGATCCCTGCTCACTGCAACATTTGCCTCTGGGGCTCAAGCGAGTCTCCCGCCTAAGCCTCCTGAGTAGCTGGGATTATAGGCGTGCACCACCACATCCGGCTAATGTTTGTATTTTTACTAGAGACGGGGTTTCACCAATTCATCATTGGCCAGGATGGTCACGAATTCCTGACCGCCAGGAATCAACTGATCCGCCAGCCTGGGCTTCCCAAAGTGCTGGGATTATAGGTGTGAGTCACCAGGCCCAGCGCTCTTTAGACTTAATATTTTTTAAATGAGTAGGTTATTACTGTTCTAACAGTTTGGGTTCTTCTTCTTTTTTTTTAATTGGGTATTATTTAGGAACTTGTGCAACCTCAAAAGAACAGACTGCCAGTGTAGCCTAGATTTTGTTTGTAGGAAGCATAAATGGATAAAATAATAGCTTAATGGCAAATTATTTACAGGACCATTTAAATGCCTAAATTTTATCTAAGGCAGTGGTTGTCAAAGTGTGGTCCCAAGACCAGCAACATCATTATCAGCTAGAAACTTGTTAGAAATGAAAATTGACAGGCCCCACCCCACAGCTGCTGAATCAGAAAATCTGGGAATGGGGACCCATCATCTGGTTTAAGAAGCCTTCCAGGTGACTCTAATTCATGCTCAAGTTTAAGAACAACTGATTTAAGGAGTCACATATTTAGCCTTCTTGCCTAGAAAAAACTTTATAGTAAGGCAGCTCAGTTACTGTATACAGTTAATAGCAAACCTTGGCTGACATACTCAGAAGATGAAATATCCACCCACACAAAATGAAAATCTACTTTGACCCATTTTCCAGGTTAAATGATCTTGGGCGTCTTGGTTTCACTCATGACCACAAATTCCCATGAAAAACTGAAAGACTAGAATCCTGGGGAAAAACTAACAGGATACTTTTTATGTGTACCAAGACGCAAGCAAGGAAATATTCTTACAGAATTTATTCACAGCTGAGATGGGATCAAAATCTTAATTATTAACATTATCATCCTATAGGATGCTAGAATAATACTTAGAATTTGTTACTTTACTTCTGGCTATTTAAAATTTATTCAGCATCAACAGTGTGGGACTGAAGTACTTTATATAACACTGATAACATAATCTTCGCTTCGAGTCTTTTTTTTTTTAATTTTTTTTTTTTTTTTTGCAGACAGGGTCTCATTTTGTTGCCAGAGTGCAGTGGCACCATCATAGCCACTGCAGCCTTGACCTCCCAAGCTCAAGTGATTCTCCTGTCTTGGCCTCCCAAAGTGTTGGGACTACAGGCACATGCCACCATACTCGGCTAATTAAAAACATATTTTTTGTAGAGATGAGGTCTCACTATATTGCCTGGGCTGGTCTCAAACTCCTGGGCTCAAGCAATCCTTCCACCTTGACCTCCCAAAGTACTGGAATTACAAGCATGAGCTACAGTGCCTGGCCTAAGTCTTAAATTCCTAACATAATGTACATTTTTTGAGCATAATACAATACATGACATCATTAAGAGATTACGTGAACATAGACTGAGACCTTTTATGGTGAAATCTTGTGAGATTCACTATGTTTTATTTATGTCTTGGTAATTGCTGACTAAATGTCTGGATGAAAATAGAGGTTC